TAGGAATGGGGAAAAAATAAGAACCAAGATGCATTATGTAAAGGTACAATTCCCAGTGAGAAATGTAATTGTGTTGTATACCTAAAATATACCAATACAAGAATTTAAGAAAAAAATATTTAAAGTATACAGTTCACTCAATTCAGTATGTTCATAGCATCGTCCGAACATTACCACAATCTAATTCTAGAACATGTTTCTCATCCCAAAAGAAACATGATTATCAATTAGCAACATTCCCCATTCTTCCTCTACCCCCTTTTCCCCTTCTGCATTCCTCTACCCTCCAGGCTTAGACAATCAGTAGACAATTTTTGTCTCTATAGGTGCATCTGTTCTAGACAGTTCTACAAATGGAAGCATGTAATGTGTGGTCTTTTGGGACTGCCTCTGGTTTCTTTCATTTAGCATAAGGCTTTCAGGATTCATCTAGGATGAAGCATGTGTGTATTTCCTTTCTAATACTGAATAACATTCCATGTATGGGGCCAGGGATTTAGCTCAGTGGTTCCTCCACCTGCCTCGAAAGCACAAGGTCCCGAGTACGATCTCCGGTACCAAAAAAAAAAAAAAATTCCGTGTATGCATATTAACCACATTTTACTTATTCAGTCATTACTTGACTATTTCGATGGTTGCTGTGTTTTTGCTGTTATGATTAATGCTTCTCTGAACAATTGCGAATAAGTTCTTGTTTGGTTTATGTTTTCATTTCTCTTGGATATACATCTGGAAGCAGAATTGTTGGATCAGGGTAGCTCTATGGTTAATATTTTGAGGAACTCTCAGACTGTTTTCCAACCTCAGCAACCATGTATGAGGGTTCTAATTTTTCCACAAACTTGTAAAATGGAAATTTTATAATTGTTTGGCAAAGATTCAACAAATTATTTGTTAAACATCTATGTTGTAAAAGGCCCTACAGAAGGGGCTATACTTTGTTAACACTATCACTTCTCTTATTGAAAAATTAGAACTTTTCTAATGATAATTCTTTCCTAAAGGAGTCTATATCATTCAGTGTTTAGTGAGGAGACAAATCATATTAGTAATTTGAACAGGGAGAATTTAACAGAATTATTATCTAGTAAAATCTGATTAACTGCGAAAGAGGTAACTTAAATACTAAAGAATACACAGGAATAGAATTCTCTATCAGCCAGGTTGTTGGTATTGAGGACAGCAACTGATATAGAAGAAATATAACTTCCAACCTGTTAGGTGTTAGATGAGCTGAGTTTGTGTCCCGTGAAATCAAAGAATGAATTTTAATGAACAATGAAGGTTAAGAGTAAGAAAGGTATACTGAGAGATAGCTGTTGACAGACAGGAGGGCTCCTGGGTGAGTGGCCACCAAGGCCCTTTGTCAGGGTTAAATTATACAGCAAACTCACAATGCAAGTACAACATGGGTCAAACTATAATCAACCCATAAGATTACAAGTATAGCTGTTTAGCTAATATTGATCTAATTGGGAACCAGGTCACATGTATGGACACATGGAAATAACAAAGACAGTTTTGGGAAGAGATGGATCTGGATGTCTTGGTCATCCATCTGGGCAGTTGATAGCTGTCTGGTTTTTTTGGCCAGGTGGTGTTAATTATAGTATGATTTTAAGTTACTGCTTATCTCTTAGGCATGTAGGCCTGGCCAATGTATCTTT